ACAATAAATCTAGCCTGGTAGGAACTGCAGAGGCATGAGACTGTGGGCTGCGAGCCCACAGACAGCAGCTATTTTAGCTGTGAGCAACTCCCTCGGGATTAAAATCCAGAGCTGGCTCCATAGAGGGCCAGTTCAGAGCACTAAATTAGCTACAGCCATGCACCTTGGGCTCCAGCAGAGGGAGGGCAGACTGGACTAGAACAATGTGGAGAGACTCAGTAGCTTGGAGAGCTAGGAGGGCAATGGGAGTTTTGTGCTGAATCACTCCTCACAGGACAGTAGCCATATTACTCAAAGAGCCCCTTCCCAGAGTCCCAGGGAGAAGCAACTGCTCCACCCTCAGTAATTTAACACCACCTGGCCAGGCCAGAGAACTGCAAATTGAGGCTCAGTAACAGCCAGCAAGCATCTGTCCCATCTACCGGAAATCCTCTTACCCTGAACACCTGAGGGATTTTTTTACTCAGTTGAGGGCTACAACCCATGGGTAATCATGTAACTGAGACTGATAGCCTCCAGGCAAAAAGCTAGAGGATAACTAAACATTCCCTGGGCTTGCAAATCTACACAGGAAAGCAAGACTTGACAGTTGTGTTTAACATGGGTCCTCCCACACTCATCCAAACCCAGTAGAGGGAGCCACAACCAGCAGAGCACCAACACCATCAGGAAAAATTTGGCAGGCTCCAAAACCCACTGAGATAGCCCAAATGGTGAAACAAAGAAACAAATCCCAAATGAAAGAACAAGAAAACACTACCAAAGAAGAAATAAATGAAATGCAGTTAAGTGAATTATCAGAGGTAGAGTTCAGAGTGATGATAATGAGGAAGCTCAACAGCATGAGTAAAGAGCTCATCAGCATGAGTAAAGATATAGAAACATTGAAAATCAACCAATTGGAAATGAAGAATGACATAGCAGAAATAAAGAACACAATGGAAGTAATAACCATAAGAGTAGAGGAAGCTGAGGACTGGATCAGTGAATTAGAAGACAGGGTAGAAAAACTCACCCAATCATAAAACCAAAAAGAAAAAAACAATTAAAAAACAGGAAGACAGCTTAAGAGAACTGTGGGACAATATGAAACATAACAACATCCACATCATAGGAGTTCCAGAAGAAGAAGAAAATGAGCAAGGGTTAGAGACTATATTTGAAGAAATGGTGACAGAAAACTTCCCTAACTTGGTGAAGGAAAAAGGCATACATATACAACAAGCACAGAGAGCCTGAAATAAGAAGAACTCAAAGAGGGTTATACCAAGACACATAGTAATTAAAATGCCAAAAATTAAAGACAAAGAGATAATCCTAAAGGCAGCAAGAGATAAGCAACAGGTTACCTACAAAGGAACCTCCATAAGACTATCAGCTGACTTCTCTGAAGCAAAAGAAACACAGGAAAAAATGAACACATGGGACTACATCAAGCTAAAAACCTTCTGCACAGCAAAAGAAACAACCATCAAAGTGGAAAGAGAACCCACTATATGGGAGAGGATAATTGCCAACAATATATCAGAAAATTTTCAAAATATATAGAGTACTCATACAACTTAACAAAAGGAAGACAAAGAACCCAATTTAAAAACGGGCAGAGAAGCTAAATAGACACCTCTCCAAACAGGACATACAGATGGCCAAGAGACATATGAAAAAATGCTCAGCGTCACTAATTATCAGAGAGATGCAAATTAAAATGACTATAAGGTATCACCTCACACCTGCCAGAATGGCTGCCATCAACAAATCATCAAACAACAAGTGTTGGTGAAGAGAAAGGGTGTGGAGAAAAGGGGACTCTAGTACACTGCTGGTGGGAATGCAGCCACTATGGAAAACAATATGGTGTTTCCTCAAAAAATTAAAAATGGAACTTCCATTTGACCAGCGATCCCACTTCTAGGAATATATCCTAAGATGCCTGAAACATCCATCAGAAAAGATATATGTACCCCTATGCTCATAGCAGCACTCTTTACAATTGCTAAGATCTGGAAGCAGCTCAAGTGTCCATCAGTAGACGAGTGGATAAAAAAGCGGTGATACATTTACACAATGAAATACTATGCAGCTGTAAGAAGGGGAGATCTCTTATCCGTTGAGATGACATGGAAGAAACTAGAGAGTATTATGCTAAGTGAAATAAGCCAATTAGAGACAAACAAATACTGCATGATGTCACTTATTTGTGGAACATAATGAACAAAATAAGCTGATGAAAAAAATTGACCCAGAGACATAGAAAGGGGTACAGTTCAGACTGACTAACCTCAGAGGAGGGGTGCAGCAGGGAGGGATGAGATAAACCAAAGAACTTGTGTGCATGTGTGCGTAACCAATGGACACAGACCACAATGCTGGGTGGGGGCAGGGGTGCGGGCAGAATGGGGAGGAGGGTGTCTAGGGGAGAAAAAGGAGAAACAACTGTAACAAAAATAAATTAATAAAAATTGCAAAAAAAATGTAACTTGCTACATATTAGTTTGTATTTTCATATTAAGTTTAAAATACTAAACGTAAGACTTAATTTTTGACAGATGTGAACCTAAATATTTTCTTGCCTAATGTCCTGGTGCATGTAGTTACCCTTCTAAAATATCTTTTGATATAGGTTCTCTCTGAAACATAACGTTAGGAATATTTAAAGGTCTTAAATGGGGCTATTTTGTTCCATTTTAGTCTTTGACAGCAGCTCCCAAGCAGTGAATCCCCTGTGGGGATATGTACAGTTTAGTGTGTGCGCTATGACTTATTTTAGCTCTATAAAAATGGCAGACTTTGTTTTTCTTCTGAAAATTTGAGTGACTTTTATGTAGTGTGTGTGTCTAATAGAGAGAAAGTGAGAGAGAGACCCCATTCAGCTGCAGTTTCATCAAAGTCATCTCTTCATATCCTTATGACATTTGCCTTATGTTTAATTTGTAACGGTAATATTATCCCGGTCACAGGAGAAAGAAAAACGCCCATGGAGAATTCTCCCATTGAAAGCTAATGTACACACAAACAATCCTTTTGGCATTTCTAGGGCATTGAATACCAAAGAGAGTATACTTTATCTTTAATGTTGGAGATGAACGTACCTATATTCTAGGAGAATCGTTAATGAAAAAGGCTCATCAGTTCCATTACTGCGGTGTTACCCTTGGGTGCGGTAGAGCCACTGTCTGGTCCCGTGAATGACCGCTGTAACCAGGGCTGAATCTATGACATGGCCCAGAGGGAGCTCCCAGAGGTGCGGCTCCCTTCCTGAAACTTGTCCCAACCCTGCGGTGTGCGTGGTTGACTGCAAACCTCTCCAGAAACTTCAGTGACTTGGCAATACGTCTGTCTCTGCAGCAGAGGTGCTCTTTGCGATTAAAAAATTAACTGAGTGCAGCATGGACACAGACAACCACCGGAGGGAACGCAGGGCAATATTGGCAGTGGCCGGGCCCTGGGGAGAGGCACTGGGCTGAGGGGGACCAGCAGACAGGGACCTGCATGGGTACCTCTTTCAGCTCCGCGTTACTGAGCTGTTCATAACCTGCGTGTACTGTGGGAAAGAAAGGGCGGAGCTTACCATCCCCTGGGGCTCCCCGCTCAGAAACCGGGAGCTGGACTTGCCTGTGCTTTGTCCTGCAGTCCCCACACCCGATCTGTGCCAAGCCGTGCATTTGCTCCCCGATGCACCCGCTCCCCAGCTCCGCGGCCCTGCCCAGTGGGTGCCCACGAGCTCTCACCTGCCTAGGGCGATGGCGTCTGCACCCGACGCCCTGCAGCCTCTTCCTGTTCCTCTCAGCTCCTCCGAGGCCCCCACTTCGCCCGACAGCAATCGTGACCAGATCATCTCCATGCTCACACTCCCCGCACCGCCCACCCACCCTGCTCTGCCCCTTCTCCGCAGACTTTTACAATGTGCTCCCAACTGCAAACCTGGCCACCAACACCCATGACCCCGCCAAGGAATTAGTCCTCAGCCTGGAGTGAGTGACCCCGAGACCCCATGCGCCCGGCCTCCCCTCCTGCAGCCGGGCCCTGCAGTTCCCAGACACCTGAGCGGCTGCCTTGTGACCGCTCACCTTCTCCCCAGGCTGTCCCTGCCTGACTGGCTCCCTTCGAAGTTCCAGCCTCACAGACAGAGAGCAGGAGGCCAGCTGGCCTAGGGCGGCTGGGGTGGGGTGGGAGGACAGAGCAAAAACTCAGGGACACACACAGAGTGTGATGATCGCGGGGGGGGGGGCTGGGGGAGGGGGGAAGGGTGTAGGGGGATAAGTGGTGATGGAGGGAGACTTGACTTGGGGTGCTGAACACACACTACAGTGTACAGATGATGTGTTATAAAACCGTGCACTTGAAACCTGTAGAATTTGTTAACTGGTGATACCCCAGTACATTTAATTTAAGAAAAAGAAAGTTCCTGCTTTCTCCCCTGTGAAGTCTTCCTGGCACCCCCGCCCCCCAGTCCCCGGCAGAGTTGGCTCCTCCCTCTAAATGGCTGATGAGTCCATTATCTCACTTATCCCAACACTAGCATTTCCTATTTTCCTTTTTTCTTTATTAATGTTAGAGAGAGAGGGAGAGAGAGAGAGAAACATCGATGAGAGAGAACATTGGCCGCTTCCTGCATGGGGGCACTGGGGATCGGGCCCACAACCTGGGCATGTGCTCTGACCGGGAATCGAACCAGCGACCTCTGGGTTCATGCGTTGATGCTCAACCACTGAGCCACACTGCCTGGGCCCAACACTATTATTTCTTTGAGAGCAAAGAGCTTATTGATTTATTTTGCTTATATGTGTATATTTTTAATTTTGGCATTACCAACCTTTTCCATGTGCAGCAAATGAATATTTTCTATGGAGTGTTTATGCTGAATAAAGAATGAGTGGGTGAGTGAATGAATGTAGAGAACAGAGACAGGGAATTATTGGACGTGTGGTCTAGTTCTATTTCCGATTTTCTGGCCGGATCTCATTTCCCTCTCATTTCAGTGGCCAATTGGATGCTCCCAACTCTTTTGACTCTGAAATAACGTTTCAGTTGTAACCGGGGAGCCTGGCAGGACACACAGCGGTCACCCTCTCCGGACAGGAGGGCCATCCTGAGCATGGGGCTGGCTCTTAAGGGCACTAGAGGGAATTTAAGAAAAAAAACAAAACAGCCTTGCCGGTTTGGCTCAGCGGTTAGAGCGTCGGCCTGAGGTCCAGAGAGTCCTGGGTTCGGTTCCTGCTAAAGGCACGTACCTCGGTTGCAGTTTGTCCCCGGCCCTGGTTGGTCGTGTGGGTGGCAGCCACTCGATGTGTCTCTCTCACGTCGATGCTTCTCTCTCTCTTTCTCCCTCTCTCCCTCTTGCTCTACCTGAAGATAAATGCAAAAATGTCCTCGGGTGAGGATAATACGAAAAAGGAAAACAATAATAAGAATTAAGTAATAATTTCTCAGTTCCTGATTTCATTAGATACCAAATGGTGATTCCTTTGGGCCTCGAAGGAGCCCGGGAGGCCAAGTTCACCCTGGTGCCCCTAGCGTTGTTCTGCTTCGTGGTTTTCTTCAGTCAGCGTTGTAACGATGCCGCTTTGAAAAAGTTACTTAACTTCTCTGCACCTGCATTTCCTCAGCTGCAGTACGACATGTACCATGTATCACCTCCGAGAGTGTCAGTGAGGATTAGATCAAGTCGAGTTCCTGGAACAATGCCCAGCATGTGGAAACATGCTAAGTGTTCAATAGATACAGGTAATGGGGATGTGCTTTGATGTTTCTGAGGGCAGTTTGCACTTTCCTGTGATTTTCTGCATCCTCTAATGACTCCTAGAGCCCTGTTTCACTGCGTTATATGAGCAACCCAGAGCTGCATGGGCAGAGACACATTCATTTGTCTACTGTGAGTTAGACTTCAAAGCAGTCCCGTGAACTGAGGCAACTGAACGTCTTATTTAAGTGACTGCTCTCCTGTGTCTACAAAAGTCCACCGCTAGAAATTTTATTTATTATTAGGATGCTTGGTCCCCTTTTGAAATGCAGGTATTCTAACAAGTAGGAACATAGGAGTCACGTAAACCTCCGAGTGGATGAACTAATTGAATGTTTCCCTGTGAGCAGTGTCGATGGGAAGAAGAGGATTGTTGTTGGGAGCTGAAGGAACAGAGGGGGAGGGGAAGGAGGGGACCCTGCAAGGGTCACTCGGATGGGATGGGTTTGGAGACTGTAGCCATTCTCGCAAGATTGGCAGGCGGGACCGCCCTTTGAATTGCAGACTTGGCCTCAGCGGGAATTAGGTTCAGCTCAAGGGCAGTGTTGTTCTGGTTGCTGGAAGCTCATGCCCAGGACTGTTGGCCTGGGCCTGGCCGCCTGGTCACCCACTCTTCGAAAAGCTGTATTATTTTCTAAATCAATGAGGATCTTGGATGCAAATGACCAAAATGCCAACCACAAACTGGTTTGGGCATAAAGGGAACTGTTTGGGTTCATATCACTGGAAAGATCAGGGAGGGGTAGCTGCAGGGCTCGGAGGACGTCGGCCGTGCTCAGTGACCCTCTCTTGTCTCGACCTTGAGCTGGGCTGACATCCATCACGGGCTCCATGACTTGATGGTGATAAGAGCTTCAGTCTCTACGTACCCTCAGGTTCAAGCCACATGGAAACAGAGCTTCCTTTTGCTGCAGAAATCGAAGGAAAATTTCTCGTAGGGCTCTGAAGGGGCAGTTGCCTGGCTCTGGAGAAATTACTCCGGCTAGGAAAACGCAAGCTCCAATGGGCCACAGATAAATGGATAGACATCCGTGTTCATGAATAAAAAGCCTTAATGTTGTTAGATGTCTGTACCACTCAAAATGATCTACAGGTGTAATGTCATTCCTATCAAAACCCCAATGGCGTTTTGTTTTTTCACAAATAGAAAAAAAATCATCTTAAAATTTAAATGGAATCTTATGAGACTCCCAAATAGCCAAAACAATTTTGCAAACACAAACAAACCAAAGTTGGAGAACTCACACTTCCTGATCTGAAAACTATTACGAAGCTGCAATAATCCAAACTGTGAAATTAGCAGAAAGGTAAACATATAGGTCAGTGGGCCAGATAGAGAGACCCCAGATAAACCCCTGCTTATGTGGTTAAATGATCTTTGGCAAAGTTACCAAGACCACTCAACAGAGAAAGGAAATTCTCTTCAACAAATCGTGCTGGAAAAATTGGATATCCATGTGCAAAAATAAATAAAGTTGGACCCTTATCTTATACCATATATAAAAATCAACTCTAGCCCTGGCTGGTTTGGCTCAGCGGTGGAGTGTCCGGCCATGGACCAATGGGTCGCAGGTTCAGTTCCGGCCAGGGGCGTGGACCTTGGTTTCGGGAGACAACCAGTCGATGTGTCCCTCTCATGTCGATGTTTCTCTCTCCTTTTCTCTCCCTCCCACTCTAACTGAAGATAAGTGGAAAAATATTCTCAGTGAGGATTTAAAAAAGAAAGTCAACTCCAAATGAATTAAAGACCTAAATGGAAGAACTGTAAAACTCCTGGAAGAAAACAGGGGAATGCCTTCATGACACTGGGTTTGACAATGGTTTTGTGGTTGTGACATCAAAAGGACAGATAACAAAAGCAAACATGGACAAATGGAGCTAATTCAAAGTTAAAACTTTTGTGCTTCAAAGGAAACCACCATCAGAATAAAAGAGCAAGCTATGGAATAGGAGGAAATATTTGCAATCAGGTATCTGATGAGGGATTAATATCAAGAATATACAAAGAACTCCTATAACTCAACAACCACAAAAATCAAATAACCTGATTTAGAAATGGCTAAAGGACTTGAATAGATATTTCTCCCAAGGTGATCTACAAAGGGGCAACAGACACATGAAAAGATGCTCAACATCACAAGTCATAAGAGAAATTCAAATAAAAATCACGAGATATCGCCATCATTCCTCACACCCATTAGAATGGTTATTATAAAACAGACAAAACAGAAAACAGCGAGTGTCGGCTTGCCCTCTTGGAGAATGTGGAGCCCTTGCGCATTGCTCATGAGAATGCAAATACAGTTGCTATAGAAAGCAGTGTGGAGGTCCCTTAACGTATTAAAAATAGAACTATCACATGATCTGGCAACCCCACTTCTGGGTCTAGATGCCAAAGAATCCAAAGCAGGTTGTGAAGAGAGATTTGCACCCCCGTGTTCACAACAGCATTATTCACAATAGCCAAGGAGTGAAAGCAAAACAAACGTCCGCCACAGGATGAATGGACAGACGAAATGAGCTGTTCACATGCAACGGAACGTCACTTAGCCTTAACATGATACTGCCACAGGCTAACACTTGGCTGGACCTAGAGGGTACCATGCTGAGGGACACAGGCCAGCACAAGAAGACAAAGGCTGGGTAAGCCCATTAGAAGAAAATATCCAGCGTAGTCAAAGTCCTGGAGACAGAGAGTGAAGTGGTGGTTCCCAGGGCTTGGGGGAGGGGAGGCGGGGGACCTGCTTGGTGAGTGCACAGTTCCGGCGGCCAGACGACCTGAAGAGCTGTCTCACAACCCACTGAAACTGTATACTTAAAAATGATGATGATGGAAATCGTATGTGTTTTCCACCACCATTTTAAAAACACCCATCTGAGGTCCACACGAGATCCACGCAATCAGGGGGTGTGGGGCTAGGACGCCAATGTTACTTAAAGGCCCCCTGGATTATTTCATGGTGCAGACATGCTTGCAAGTAACTGTTCTAATGTCTCATCCTGAATCTCATCTGTCCACCCACTTCGTCCTCCTCAATCCGTCACTGTGAGGGACAGGCCCCGAGCCTCACAGAGCAGTGCGGGGTCAGAGCTGGGTGGGGGTGCAGACTCCGGGGGGGGCCACCAAATCATCCCACTAGATGAGAATCAGGGCATCCGTTACCTCAGTTTCCCACTCTTCCAGGTAGGCAAGAGCAGGAGGTCGACGGGTAGCTCGCGGTGAGGTCCCAGGCAGAGACACACCCTCATTTAGGTTAGTTAGCAGAAGGACGGGGACAGCAGAGAGGAAGGAGACACTAGTCACCCCAGTGCCACCCACAGAATGAAAAGTCACAGTGGCCACAGGAGACAAGTGACCAGCCCGGAGGGACGGCTGGGAAAAGACGGACAGGAAAGTCCCAGAACCAGAAACAGAGAGTTGAGAGAAGGGAGAAGGGAAAACAGTATCATTTTTGTGTGTGTCTAGATCTGGACTGACTTCATTTGTTTTTGTTTTTTGTCTTCCTTACCTGAGGACATTTTTTTTTTTTTTTTTTTTATCCTCACCCGAGGATATTTTTCCATTTTTTGTACAGATAGAGTGGGAGGGAGAGAGAGGAAGGGAGACAGACAGAAACATCGACGTGAAGGGACACATCGAGTGGCTGCCACCCGCACGACCAACCAGGGCCGGGGACAAACTGCAACCGAGGTACATGCCCTTAGCGGGAACCGAACCCAGGTCTCTCCGGACCGCAGGCCGACGCTCTAACCGCTGAGCCAAACTGGCCAGGGCCTGAGGACATTTTTGCATTTATTTTCAGATAGAGCGGGAGGCGGGGGGGGGGGGGGGGAGAGAGAAACATGGATATGAGAGACACATCGAGTGGTTGCCACCCAAAGGACCCCAACCCGGCCGGGGACAAACTGCAACCAAGGTACGTGCCCTTAGCGGGAACCGAACCCGGGACTCTCTGGTCCGTGGGCCGACGTTCTAACCGCTGAGCCAAACTGGCCAGGGCTACTTAATTTGTTTTAAAATAAAATCAAAACTGCCGGGGTAGAGGGTAGGGGGGAACATCATTCTTTATTAGGAAGAGAGCTGGGAGCAGGTAGTGGAGTTTTTACAGAGGCGACAGTAATCAATATTCACATGTCACTTCTTAATACACGGATGGGTTGAAATCAGGCTGTGGCGTAATTTAATTAAACGGACTGTTGTTTTTCCTTCTCGCTGGTTTCGCGAGCCTGAGGTGAGCGGGATTAGGTTCTAACTGAAGCAGAGCGCTGGCTCGGGGCCAAGCAGGCCTGTTAGCCGGAGGAGGTGGCTTTCTGGGCCTTCACAGGCGGAGGGCGTGCACGGAGGGGGCCGGCCGCCTTCTCCCCTTCCAGGCTCAGAACGCGAGCGGG